GCCGGCGGTGGAGGCTTTGTTGAAGGGCCTCCTCCCTGTTGGCCTTCTGTAGCCTTCTTGGCTACAGGCTTTCGAACAACTGAAAGCAAATAAAAAAGTTAACAGGCTAGCAGTCGAAAAAAAACAAAGTAATGTAAAAGGATGAACTTACATTTCTTTATTTTGTCCAACACAAGGACAAAGGATTTCTGAAGCTCATCCATGAAGTCCTTCTCGTCGAAGAACTCCTCAGCATAATAGCTTTTCCACCACTCCTCAAAGGATGGTGAGCAAAGAAAATTGAGCTGGTAGTCAAACAACGAGAGAACTGTTCGACCAGCATATCTTCCGATATGCTTGATGGCAGCTTCTTCGGTGTAATCATTGCAGAAGTACAACATTGACTTCTCTCGTGGAAAAATCGGAGAAGGTAGGGTTTGGATAATACCAAACTGGCGAGATACCAGGTTTGGTTGGTATGCAATCAGACTCAAGTGAGTCTTAGAGCTCCTGAATCGAAGAGGCATGATCCTTGGTGTGAGGAACGCCTCCCACAGTATTGTATGTTCGTCAACATTAGGACCACTCGACGTCCTTGGATGTGGCCTTGTGAACCATACTGGGCCTACCTGCCGTCGAGCAAATGGAGCCATAGTTGAAACAAACTCTTTCCTTCGAGCAAACATCAGAACGAAGTTGGTGAAGGTTTGCTGAAACTCCAGTCCATCTTCCATAGGTGTCAACAGAGCCAGCCTGGTTCCTTCGACGCGTCTGTTCGCTATCTCTGGAGCCTGCTCATTTATCTGAACCTTCTTAGGCAAGAAAGATTCGAAAGTGGCATTGAGCCACAGTTGGAGCAGCCAAAAAGGCCCAGCAAGTAGCAAACTGGCCCTGTTCTCGATAATTTTTAGAAGAGTTGCCCCATTGCTGATCGAATCATAGAGGCTAGCCAGAATCAGTTCTGCCAAACAGATATTTTGGCGATGATGCAGTTGAGTAGCGAGAGTGACCATCTTTTTGGTCACCTGTAAAGACTTCGAGCAAAATACAAAGCGAGTCAGCCATAGGGCTAGAAACGCTATGTGTTCGACATCCGACACAGCATCTGTCGACCTGTCGTGATAGTGGTTGATGAAAGTGGTGTATGTTGGTTTGGTGTCAGAGAAGCCAATTTGATCTTCCGACATCTCCTCCGGATCGAAGTAGTCCCCGGTGGGTCGAAGGCCAGTAATAGCGGCCACATCGAAGAGTGTGGGGGTTAGCATCCCACAGGGAAGATGGAAAGTAAAGTGGAAGTAGTCCCAGAACAGCAGAGAAGCTATCAGCATCTCCGGAGAATAGTTCAAACCTGTCTTCGATAGCATCACCAGGTCGAAAATCCCCATATCCTTCCAGATCGAAGTTTGGTGCTTCTCCATCTTTTCTAGCCAAGCAACGTAATCAGGGGTAAGGCTAGGGCCAGACCTGAAGGCCCTAACACCTCTGTTGAAGAAGCGGAGGTCGATTTTTTCATGTGCAGGGTCTTCATTGTCTTCTGCATCTTTCTTGGCGCATGCAACCGGTTTGAGTTTCTCAACTACCGGGAAATAGCTCTTGATCTTCATAGCCTCAGAGATACTTGGATACATGGGGCCAGACATAGCAAAGATCTGGTTGGAGTATCCAACCGGGATCATAAGGTGGCGTGAGTAGGCATCGCGAACGGTGATGTCCAAGGGTTCAGGAACCCTTCGTTTGCCTGTAGAAGTTACTACTGGAGCAGTGACGAAAACCTTAGGTTTAGCGTTTTCAGATGGTACAGTAGCGCCGGGAGCATTGGAAGCAGATGCCATTGTTAGTGTTGAGGTTGAAGATGAAGTGAAGGAGGAAATGTTTTTGCAAAGATGACAAGTTGTATGAAAACAGAGAAGTTTGAAAGCTAGATGGCGTAAAAAGTCCCACAATGGGGTACTTACTGCTATTTATAGTAGTGGGGGAAAATCCCCAAAAACCGAGGACATTAAATGCCATTTAATTATTGCAGGAGCTAGTGGGACGCGTGGCAGCCCCCTGTTGTTTTAGCCGTTCTGCAGAAATAGAGGGACGCAGCGTGCGTCCTCGTTTTTGGGAATTGTCATAATGACAAATTCTGAAATGACGTTTAGTACTGCACGCCGTACTGAAAGTGACGTCCTAGGTACGGATAAATGATGGTTTTCTTGGGATTGCCAATAGTTGGTAGAAAACAACAAAAAGTGCACAAGTTAATTTGTGACTAAGCGTGAAAAGACAGGTGTTGAATGGCGTTTCAAAGAATGCCTTTTTCTTTCAGAGTCGAAATAAGGCATTCTTGGGGGGCAATTTGTTGACTCCTAAATTCGACACCTTTGTTTTGTTGATGTCAGCCATTAAAGCTGAAGGATGTTTTCGACTGGCTAAGTCTGTCGAAATGCCCATCGAAAGATGGCAAAGTACTTAGAAGATTTCTTCCAAGGGAGAAGTTGGTTGCCTTCGACGTCGAAGGAGTTTCTCGTCGAAGATGTCTCTCGACGAAAGTGTTCGATGGTTCAGAGTGGAGCAGTTTGAAATTCAAGCTTTTGGAGGGAAAACGGTTTCCAGCAGTTACCACGTGTAGCGTGCAAAGATCTGGAGCGTCGAACGTTGAGAACGTGCCAAGTGGAATCATCTCGAAGCAGTGTAACTGCCCGACGGTTACTTGGGATGTTTTAGTATAAATAGTAGTAGTCATGTAAGTTCTCGCGTGTGTTCACAATTCTATACAAAGTCACTCATATAGATTCGAGTACCCAGCGTGTGAGAAAGAATTGTTGAGAAATGTATGTGTGAAACACCAATTTTATTAATCAAAGTCATTTACTTTTCCAGAAATTTACTTGCTTTCCTCTTTACATTTCTGTCGAAGCCTTTTACTTTAAGCCTTGTTTATTTTACCAAGTCCTTTCTTCATGCAATTTACTTGAAACCTCTTTATTTCATTTAAAGCCTCTTTATTTAAAGCCTTATCCAATTTAATCAAAACTTCAAAATCAACCTATGTCCTAGGATCAATCTGATCGATCCTGCGAGTAACCAAATAAGTAACCATTTGGAGGATCAGCGGTTGTTTACCAAATCCCAAGGTAAACAGTAAGGGATGGAGAAGGTAATGAGGAAGTGGTGAAAATGGGGTTGTTTCCGCTTCTGTTCGTATTTGAACAATAGAGCATCATGGCGTTTTCCACAAGGGCCCTGGCGATCACCATGCTTGCAATTCCGCTGATGGGCTTCTTTGTGGAGCCTTTGGACTTTTGTTTGTTGCTTGGATGTTCAGACCCCCTTTTTTGCTTGCAAAGCTGACATTAGGAAAAATAATTATAATAAATATTGCTAAGACTTAGTTGCAAAATAATAATAAATAATTTTAAGAAATTCTTTCAAAAATTAAATAAAAGTTAAAATTATAATAATCTCACTTTTTTTTTGAAAAAGAATGGAAGTAAAGTTTATGCACGAAAAATTAAATCTAATAATGGTAGAAAAATCTAACGACAGAAATAAAATAACGACGAAATAAATCTAATAAATGACTAAATGGACTAATAAGTGACGTTTCACATCCGATGTGGACGGGACACGTGAATCTCTGAAGGTTCACGCCTAAGGCTGAGAATCTCCCTGGAGAGGTAGTCCGCCTCCTCGGTATTAGTGGCATTAGCTATCTCCATCTACTGTGTAAGGTCGTCAATTTTCTCTCGAAGAGTAGCAATCTTCTAGCATATGGCAATAAGCTCGCGATCTTGGTTATTTCCCTCAGCGGAACCAGTGGAGAAACATGCAGTAGTCCTCTCTGAGAGGGATAAAGAGTGATATTCTGGTGTAGGTGGGGTGGCTGGTCTGAAAGGTGTTTCGCCTTGGTCCTCTAAAGCATAAATCTAATTTTCTCTATTTTGGACATTTGTTCTTGTTGGATTTAGTAGGTAGAAGTGTTGAACGACTTCATTATCAATGAGAATTTTATACTCATTAATCCTGAAGTAAACTCATCGTACCATGCCTCTTACAAGACAATGATCCAAGTCCAAAAGTGTAAAATCACAATAAGGTACTAAAATGATTTAGTTTGTTTTAGAGTCCAAGGGCGGAAGCAATGGTTTCCACTGATTTATGCTATGGATGATCATACATCAACATTCAAATATCAACATTATGGATAGACAAATGGTCAACTTAAATTGGTGACATACCAAAAACATCAATCTAATTAAAATCACAATTTATATAACTCAACTTATTTTTATTAATTTAGAGCTCCAATTTAACTTAACAATCATTTAACCGACTAATATTTTATATAAATATTTTATCAAATAGTATAAATTTAAACTAGAAATTGTCAATTTTAAAACTTATATATTATTCATTAATGAGATTCTACTTAGGTAATATAACTCTAATTAATACAACTCAAATCAAATCTTTATATCAAGTAGAGATTTGCAAATTATTCAAATGATAAATTTATCAATAATAGTATTTTATTATTTGTTGTTAATAATGTAAAGATGTATTATAACAAACACAAATATCAAAATTTTCATTTTGTATTAACAGTGAAAAATTTATAATATTTTATTATTTATAGTAAATTTTTTTTCGAGGAAGTATATAACAATTGGTAGTTTAATCATACTATAGTTAAGATTAATTGTATATAGTACTATAATTTTGACAAACTCTCTTCTTCTCGTATTATAAACAAAATTTATTTTTTTAAATTTATTGAATATCTAATATATCTAATTTATATATAAACGAAATACATTAAATATTTAATACACATAAAACATAATTTTGTTCTCATATTAGGAGAGAATATAAAATACATTGAAAAGAAAAAAAAACTTTTGACCGAAAAACAAAAGTAGAGGTACTTTACTTACGCAGAGCAGTTAACCGATTGGTCCATCCAATTCAAAGTCTCTAGTTTCTCATTCGTGCTTGCATCGAGCTCGCGACCTAAACAAAGCGAAGGAGGAGCAACCATGGGTGACGGCAACCGTTCGAACAGCAACAAACCAGAGTGGCTTCAGCAGTACGATCTGATCGGGAAGATCGGAGAAGGAACCTACGGTCTCGTCTTCCTCGCTCGAATCAAGTCCGCCACCAACCGCGGAAAATCCATCGCCATCAAGAAATTCAAGCAATCTAAAGATGGCGATGGTGTCTCTCCCACCGCCATTCGTGAAATCATGGTATCATACCTTTTCCTTTTTTTAATTAATTTTCTCTGATTTTTTTTTAATATTTTAGCTGATGAAGAGCTTTGAACCTAACTCGTTGAAATTACTGGATATTTAGTTAGTACTAACGCGATTGTTCTATGTGGCGGATGATTTCGATTGTTTTAATTTTTCAAGTTTTGATGGTTTTGGATTGGTTTTGAGTAGTTTTTATTTGATTTTGCAGTTGCTGAGGGAGATCACTCATGAAAATGTAGTGAAGCTTGTGAATGTTCACATCAATCAGACAGACATGTCTCTGTATCTAGCCTTTGATTATGCTGAACATGACCTTTATGTGAGTAGACGGCACATTTCACTTGAAATTGTCATTTTGTTTTGCAATTTATCACTCTTTCCTGCTGAGAATTTATAGTTTCTGAATATCTTGGGTTTTTAGGTTATATTCATTTTAATATTTCATTTTGGCATTCATTCCCACCCTAGTGTTGTAAAATTTAAGGATGGACTGTTGTTACATCTTCGTTTATACTTCATATTATGAGTTTTAAATTGGATTTTTTCATTTTGTGATATTGTTACTTCATTGTCTTAAAAAGTTGTGTGAGTTTCTATGGGAAGAAACATATGTAGGCAGCAAGGATTGTTTCTTGTAGTTAGTTGAGTGTAAAGATTGCAATCTTGAATGGCAGGAAATAATCAGACATCATAGAGACAAGGTCAACCAAGCTATTAACCAGTACACTGTTAAATCGATACTATGGCAGTTGCTCAATGGACTGAACTATCTGCACAGGTTAGTATATTTTTTGCGAAGTTGAAGATGGTTCTTTTTATTTATTTCTGTGTTGACTTAATTGTATTATTATACTTTCCCTCCAGTAATTGGATAATACATCGAGATTTGAAGCCATCGAATATACTGGTACGAGTTTTGCCCCCTTATCATGATATGATTAATAACTTTATCCCCAGAAGTAGACATTTGAGTTTAAATTTATTTGTCCATCTTTTATCTGTGCACTCATTTTTCTAACGAGCACTCTACAAAAAGGTTATGGGTGATGGGGAGGAACATGGAGTTGTTAAAGTTGCTGACTTTGGGCTTGCAAGGATATATCAAGCCCCTCTGAAGCCATTATCTGAAAATGGGGTATGAGTACATTTTTCATTTGTGTATTAGAGAAATCTTCATGTATATTCTCTGCATGGTTCTTCTATTTTAATACTTGAAGACTTGAAATCTGGCTATGCATATAATACCTGCAGTAGGACTACATTAAATGCTTGTGCACTATCCCAGCTTTCCGCTGTAAGCTGACTGAGTGATGGATATAGTTATTTGTTTCAAGTTTAACTTGTTGAACTGTTGAGCCTTCCGTCAAAACTTCATGTGTTTTGATTCTCTACGTGTTTGCCGTTGGGTCTATTGTCATCTTTAACTTCAATTAGCTGTGCACTTGTACCACGTTTTACCTTTTGATATGTTTGATCGATTAGATTCCTGATTTATAAAATACTGACATGCAGGTTGTTGTAACCATTTGGTATCGTGCTCCCGAGTTGCTTCTTGGAGCAAAACATTATACCAGTGCTGTTGGTATCCTTTAATTTTATAGGGTGTGTGTGTGTGTCAAGATTTATTCTCTCTTTCCCCCTCCATCTCCGTGTGTGTTGTGTGTCAAGATTTACTGTGTAAAAAATTATGTTAACTTTGGAGTTACACTTATGTGATGTTGTGATTGTTATCAATCCATCAAGGGTATTTCTCCATTATTTTAACCCGTGTTGTACTTTTTATTTATTACATTGGTGTTTTTGATATCCTTAGTTTGACTTGAGGTTGATGCCTGAATAAGTTACGGCTTTGATGAATCTGACACAGCAATATTTAGAGCATACACAAAAGGTTGACCTGGTATGATGGACTTTTGATGACTGGGATTTTTTTAGTCGATGTAATTAATGTTGGGGACTTTGGTACACATGATTGAAAGACAGACTTATCAATTGTGTGTAATAAATAAACGTGTCCGAGTTCTGTCTGATCTCATTCTAATAGTGGTTCAGTTATTTTTCCTTAAAGAGACATTTAGATACGTGGGCTGTGGGATGCATTTTTGCTGAGTTGTTGACCTTGAAGCCACTGTTTCAAGGTGCAGAAGTCAAAGCTACACCAAATCCTTTTCAGGTACTTGATGCTAAAACTTGTGTTCTTTTTATTCTACAGTTGAGTATTATTATTAGATGTAATAACATTGTTGGATTCTAAATAATCATTGTTCCACTTGTGCAGCTTGATCAACTTGACAAGATATTCAAGGTTTTAGGTAATTTATTTGCTTACTGTTTTCCTTTCTCCCTGTTGGGGGATGTTTAGTCTCTTGATGATATCCCAAACCCACATCCTGGACATTGTTACTGTGTCAGGCCATCCCACATCAGAAAAATGGCCTTCCTTACAACACCTTCCCCATTGGCAACAGGATACACAACATATACAAGGACACAAATAGTAAGATCATTAATTGCTGTGTAATTCAAATATATGCAGGATAGACCTATTTTCATAGTGTTGAGTCCTTTGTTTTCTCTTTTACTTGTTTGTTCTTTGTAACTGATATACATATATTTTTTTCTTCATGAAACTAATGGACCTGTTCTGCTTCTTGCAAACAGCGACAATGCTAATCTCTATAGTGTTGTACACCTATCTCCAAAAAGTCCTGCATATGACCTTTTGTCAAAGATGCTTGAGTAAGTATTTCCTTCCAAGCCTTTAAGAAAGTTTTTACTGCGCCTCTATACAAAGGATGTATTTCCTTTTTCATTTAAATTCTAAACGATGCTAAATTGAACATGATGAAAACCCCTTATGTGCTAATGATTTAGCGTTATCCCCCATAATACTGTGATAGGGTGGTTAAATAAGCCTCAATATTTTGTTGCTTTATCCAGGGGGTATTGGGTTTGTGTTTTTTGTTACTTATGTTTTCTAACTTTATCATCATCTTCTTCGTCATAATCATTATCATCATCACTTATTGTTGTACTTGTTCCCGTTGTTAATCTTATAGTTTCGGTTCAAATGTTAATCTGTCTCAAACTTTCCCTACCTCTTTCTATACTGTGAATACCGGTCGCTTTGTGGTGCTGTTATAGCGGATTATTGCGGAAAAACCCGCAATATCGGCCGATATTTACCAGAGGCTAAGCCCAAAACCCGCCATGTATATCCGCCATAGCACCACAATTGCGGATATTTGATAACACTGCCTAAAACAATCTATCAACCAACTTTATTGTGAGCAATCTGAGATTTTGAATAGCCAAAAGGACTTATATTTGGCCGTTACTATGGAAATTGATTAGCAATAAGTTGAATGGCCATTCAATCAAATAAGTGAATGATGATTCCTTCCATTAATAGCTAATTCAGTTAACTCTATCTAGCAGCATTATACCTTTTTCTTTTAGAAATGTGGAAATCGTCACCAGTCCTTCAGGGATCACCATGACCATTGTCACTTACCAACTGCTCCTATCATCACCCATCCTTACTGCCACTACCATTATTGCCACAACTAATCCTGTTGCCTGCATGTGCAACCACCAAACCAGAAACCAAAGCAGGGCCCCAAAAAACAAAGTATCATGGCACCGGTAGTTCAGAAAGCCTTCCCTGAAATGGAGCTGTCATGCTAGAGCAAGAACTAGCACGAACGTCTATCTATTATGACCAGTGTTGTTATTTCATTTTCTTCTTTCAAGCCTTACATATAATAAGTTGCATATATCCACAGACATTAAGGGCTATTCCTTGAATGCTGTTAATAATTTCTACTATAATAGTCCCTTCGATCTAGAAAGTTATAATGAAAATGGCTAACCCAATAGCCGGTTCAACAACTGCCACCGTTGAAACTAAAGAAACAAATGATTGACCCGTCATATCTCTTAAAATTTTGCCGTGTCCTAAGTCAACCTCACAAAACTGATTCTTAAGGTGAGAGATGCCTTCCACTTATAAACATATTTTTAGACCATATCTCATCTAATATGAGTCTCTCAACACCCCCTCCTAGAGTATTGAAGGAAACTCAGATTCTATCAAATAAGAAGATAATCAAATAACAAACAAAAAATATATTTACAATCAACAATATCATTTGAAGAAACGAAAAAATGCCAAAAGTTCAAATTCACAACGAATAACATTGATTCTATTGGCATTTACATAATGGGAATATTTAGTCTATTGAGAAGGATTTCCCGAATACCTAAAATAGAGATGATCAATCTCAGCGGGCCATAGTAGACCATGTGTTGGGCGTTGACCTGGGATTTCCTCAATCACCTCTACTCCTCGATGAATTTGTTCAAAATGGAACAGCGAGCCATGTTCGAAGTCATGCCTGTGATGGAAATACGATAGTCACTAATCGAAGTCGTGCAGCCAACTGTCATGTCTCATGTGTAGGCTTCACATCTTTCAAAACCTCGAGAGTGACCCCCTTATTCTGTAACCGAGTGCGGATCTCTTTATCATGTTCGCATCTTCTCTTTTGCAGGCCTCGTGATAGCCCTATCTAGAGGAATATTGCCACCGGGCATTTTTCTGATTCCTATCTGATTTGGCATACCATGCCATGATAGAATGACATATTCATTTAAATTTTAATGCTTAAGATTGCTAGTGGGAGTTATGATTCTATGTCATTCCCATTATAGTCATTTTAGTAAACCAAATGCAACCCTATTTCAGTTTTGTTGCATTTGGCATTCAACCTGTAAGAATTTCATCTAGTATTTGTTGATATGTGGATTTGATGCATGACTTTCTTTTTTAATGAAAAATTTCTGTATTTTTAGCCCTCTAATATTGGCTTGTGTACTTATGTTCAGATATGATCCTAAAAGGCGTATAACAGCAGCACAAGCTTTGGAGCATGAGTAAGAACTCCTTTTATTTTCTTGTATTCTTGCACGAAATTTACATATCTAGTGATTAAAAGGATGGTTTAACTAGAGATGGAACTAGGGAAGGGCAAGCATGGGCATAACCACCACTGCTTAGAACATAAATATGATTTTGTGCTTAATCTGTTTATTGTTTAATCAATTTTATTTTATATTTTTGTGTTTTTGTTAGCCAATCATAAAACTGATATCATGTGACATCCGAGTGCAATAAAATTTAGTTAAGAATGTATTGAGAAAAGTATTCTTATGCCTTTTAGTGTTATATTAATTATGTATTGAGAAAAATATTCTCATACCTTATAATGTTATATTATTAATAAATAGTATTTATATGCTCATATTGATAATTACACAATTTAAAAAGTTACTAAAATTATTCAAACTACATTCAATGTGTTAAAATATATACTTTTCATGTGTATTTGTTTAATACTTATCATTAAATATCTTTTCGCCACCGCTTTGGTTAAATTTTGAATCTGTTCTCTGGATTTAACTTATATTTGTTTATGGTTGTTCTGCCTATAGAAATATGACTAGATACAACATATTTTCCTTCCATTTTTTATATTCTTGATATGGCATACTATCAAAGATTTTCTGGAACTGATGTAGTTGCCTTCGTATTGTTGTATTTAACATAATCCTGATTGAAAGTTTCCAAAGTTATTGAGGATGAACAACTATATTGTTGTAGTCATCACTGAACTAACTCCTGAAGCTTTCCCTAAAATATTTTATTTACACAAAAAAGCAGTTATGTAGCCCTACTGCCGCCGGATTAAAGTTTTTGGGTGAATTTGTAACATGTTTCACTTAGGTTTTAGTCATGTTAGAAAAGTAATAATATAAAAACTATTCACGTTTCTTTGCTCAACAGTTTAGGCTTTTGGGGTAGTTGGTTCATATATATATATCCTTGAAGAGCTTCCATATATTGCTGGTCACTGGTTTTAGTGGTAATTGAGATTTGATGTCCTCATGCCGTATTAGTTTTATGCCTTCAATGAGTTTATAAATTGGTTGTTGCTTTTGTAAAACTTTTTTACATTAAAGACCATGTACTATGAGTTTTGATGGAAAGACACCTTGTTAGATATGTTATATCTTTGTTGGGTAATTAACTAGTTCCCTTTTATCTTTCAGCTATTATATACTCAACATGTTTTACTTTGTTTTTCCAGGTATTTCAAAATGGAACCACAGCCTGGGCGGAAGTAAGGCCTTTTCTTCCTTCCTCCTTTGCTATTTTGCTTTGGTCTTTTCGCCTTTTCTCCATTTTTATTGCATAAAGCCTTTTCCCAGAATGATTGGTTACTTTTCATTGCTTTGAAAATTTCCTTGCAAGATTTATAAATAAATATTCATTATTTCTCCGCTTCCTGCTCTATGTATAGTAAAGCAGCTGTGTTCATTAAGCATGTATTCCAAAATCATTTATTGTCTTTGATTAAATATATTTGTAAAATCAATGCCCAGTGCACTTGTACCATGCCAACCTGGAGAGCCATTTGTGAATTATCCCACACGTCCAGTGGACACAACGACAGATTTTGAAGGGACAACTAACATGCAGCAATCACAGCCGGTAAAGTCCTATAGAAATATATCATTATAAACTGAAATTGTGTAGGCTTGAGTTATCATGTACCCATTTTGGTAAGTGTTGTAGATTTGAAGTTTTCATTGAGTAGGGTATATCAGAACTAGTGGACATGATTCAACTTTGTCCCTGAATCGTCTTTTAGTGGAAAATGGTCATATATTGTAAAAGAGTAATACTATCAGAAGTTTAGCTACTCGGATTTAGTTAGTATTTATTTTATTAATCTGGCAGTGCAGTACTATATGAATCTTTACTTTTTGCAAAATTTTATTATAGGTTTGAAATTAGAGAGAGCAATAAGCGACTATTAGACAATGTTAGTTCTGTTGTCAATTCCAGATAGTGGAGCAGAGAGGAGCGGCCAACCCTAAAAATGGAGCCAAGCCCGATCGGGCGCTATTTCATATATTTAGGAATTATTATACAATTAATACTAATAAACACAAGTTGCTGAAAAATGAAATAAATTACTTAAAATTCATGAAGTATTCATAGTTAGAAGGAAAAGCCTCAATTTTAAGCAAAACATACTTGTCAATAATACCAACAAAATTCAAGAGAACAAACAATTTAAGCATTATGAAAATCTCAAAACTCATTTCCTTCAAAACAAGTTAAGCATTATCAAAACTCAAATAAAAGTTTAAGCATTTTGAAAATCTAATTCTTCATCATCATTTCCTTCGCTACTAGATATGTAGGCTTCTTTGTCTTCCCTAATATATTATGGATCAAGATCTTCATCATCTTTTGGTACTACCACTTTCGTTGCCTTCGGCGTCGAACTAGATGAGTATCGTGCAACTTTCTTTCTTTGTGGCTTAGAGCATTGGTTTAATTACAATTTAAATAGCCATGCTGACCGGTTCGAGGGGTACAAGTGGAATGAAGTTTGAACGACATCTTGTTACTGGTGATAGATGTGGCAAACCCGATGAGTTCATGATCCTATGTGTACGTCAACAATCCTTGCGATTTTGTGCATTTTGTCGTGCTTTCATATCACTAGACTAAACAAGTTGATAGTGATATGGCTAAGAGACCTAAGGTAACCAGCAATATTGAGTGGAAAAAACCTCCAAATGGATGGTTTTGTTTGAGTATGGATGGAGCATCCAAAGGAAGTAGTGGGCTTGCAGGTTATGGAGGATTGATAAGGTATGAGAATGATGTTTGGGTGTGTGGTTTTGCAAAAACTAAAGAGAAAACTACTGCTTATATGGTAGAGATGTGGGGAGTGTATGAAGGTTTGAGTTTGACTAGGAGGAAAGGTATTTCGAAGTTGGTAGCAGGGAATGTATGAAGGTATTTTGAAGTTGATAGTGCAAGTGGATTTGGAGGTCATTGTCTGTAGCATCGATGGTGTGGCAATACCGGGTGTTCTATGGGATGGACTATCATGCGTAAGATTAGACATTTGCTTATCCTAGATTGGAATGTTCGTTTCATGCATATTTATAGGGAAGAAAATAGATGTGTCGATGTGTTGTCCAACATGAAATATGTAGAGAAGTGGATTTTCTAGATTTCCAATTGCCTCCTTTTCGGTGTCTCAGATGTTAGCTCATGATTTTCGGGGTGTTTCGTTACCTCAGCTTGTAGCGTTGTAGTTTTCTTTTCCTTTTTGGACTTTGGCCCCATTGTGTTCCAAAAAATAAATAAATTCACAACATAAATTTATATATATTTTTTATAAAATACATAGCATCCTAAATTTATTCTTTCTAAATTTGAATGTTAATATTAATAACTTATTATTGATTAAATAAAGGAAGACTTATTAGTTGATATAATATATCATTTTTGTGTTTACAATTTGGATTCTATAATAGTACAAGCTATGCGTCAAAAACTAAAAATAATTAGTTATGACCTAATATTTGGATTCTTTCGCGTTTAAAGATGAATTATTACCTTATTCCCAAAAATGAAATGAATGATTACCTAAATATTACGCATATTTAGTACAAGTTATATGGAAAATATTAATTGCAATACGATTTTCTTAAATCAAATACGTGTATTGCATATATGAGTTAAAAGCAACATTAGAGTAATCGACGAACAGATGGCGCAGTGGCAGAAGTTGCATTGTTGAAGATTATTAATGCGAGTTCGATCCTTGATCAGACCACTTACATCTAATATGACCTTATGCCCAAAAAAGAGATGAATGATGATCTGAATATTACGCACATATAGTACAAGTTATGTGGCAAGTATTAATTGAAATGTGATTTTCTTAAAGCAAATACCTATATTGGATATATGAATTAAAAGCATATATCGATTAAAGCAACATTAGAGTAATCGACGGACAGATGGCGCAGTGGCAGAAGTTTCATTGTTGAAGATTAGTAATGCGAGCTCGATCCTTGATCAAACCATCTAATCATTTTGTAATTAAAAATGAAACTTCTGCCACTGCACGGTCTAATCATTTTGACCAGTTTAACCAAAATTTGACCGGTTCAAATACATGCGCGGTCTAAAATCTAAATCAAATATAGTAACCCGATCGGCCATAGGTCTGATTTTCGGTTAGACCTGTCCAATCGACCGGTCTGTTCCGATGTTAAAATACTGGGATGAATTACCTAGGCTGCCCCAAGTTTAACTGCTCTTTCCTTAGATGTTATGAATATTTTCAATGGTTTTGTTATACTTACTATGACTTGATTACATAACCGCGTAGCTTCTATTAATGAGAAGTTTCGATTCCTACTGAAGTTTGTCATTTTAAATTGCTTGCTCATGATTCTTGTAAGTAAAGGTTTATATTGGCATACTTGGACACGAGCAAGCATATGCATGCCTAAACATTTCCACCTAATGCCTTTGAATGTGTATAACTTTTCAGGTTTCGTCTGGAGCTGCTATTGCTGGAAACATGCCTGGTGGTCATGTATCTAATAGACCTGTCCCTCGACCAATGAATGTTGGTATGCAAAGAATGCATCAGCTGCAAGCTTATAACCTCCCATCCCAGCCAGGGATGGGTAGTGGAATTAATCCTGCTGGCATCCCAATGCAACGAGGTGTTCCGCAACAGGCCCATCAGCAGCAACAGGTTTATTGTTTATTGGGAAAAGAAGGATATTATTACCCTGTTGTCCTTTTTTATGGTTGATGTAATCTGTTACTAACTCTGTTTTATTTTGTTTTTTGACAGATGAGGAGAAAAGACCAAATGGGAATGCCAGGATACCCTCCGCAGCAGAAACCAAGACGTATGTAAGGTAAATAACATTGTTCCACCACATATTAGTGGCAACGGTGGTGGTGGTGATAGATGTACTCTGTCATAGAGAAACTTGACATTACATAAAACTGGAAGAATTTCTTCTATGTGGATTATTAGAAATATCAATAATTTCTCATGTTTTGTCCGAGTAGTTTTAATGGGCAATTAGGATTCATGAGAGTTCTATATGAAATTTTGAATTAAATTTATCAGAGATTCTCTTATAAAGTATTCGAAAAACTACATATTGCGCATAACCTGGTTCACCTCTTTAATAGTCAATTGTGATGTTTACTTTGGGTTGTGGCAAACATCATGTTGTGTATATCTTATTGAGAATTATTAAGGTAATCAAAATTGGACCTGCTTGTTAGACCAATCGAACCAAAATCAGATCTGCATATAAATCAAATCAGGACTGAAAACCACCTAGAAAAAAAATCCGATTTGCAAATCGAGAACCAATACAAAACCGTCAAAACCAGCTGTCAACTGGTTTGTTGCCATTCATAAATGCACAATCTGAGAAATATATTACCTAAAAATGGCTCAATTTTGTATTTTATATTTGACTCGTATTATGTTGTTAAATAGCCACCGCTATACCGCTATAGTGTCGCTGAATTTGAACAAACCGCTACTGTTCCGCAATACGCCATTAGGGCAAAATGTTGTCAAATAGCTGATATAGTGGTGCTATAGAATTAGTACATAGTGGAATTTTAACAATCTGCTATTTTTCACTACCCGCAATTTGCAACACTAATGCCGTTTGCTGTAAATTTTGTAACTCAATTTGACCACAGGCATACAACAAGCCTGTTTTAGGTGTCATTACTGTTTCTCTTTTTTCAACTCTAGCTTTTTACCTTTCATTTTCAATATAAACTGTTCATGAATTAGATTAGTAGGATCTCTCATGTTGATTTAAACATGAAGAGATAATGTGGAGAATCTATGGCCCTTGAAATATCTTTGGATAGAAGGGTTTAAGAATTTGAAAAATAAAGGGAAAGAATGTGGGGTTAAAGGTGGAGATTTAGAACACTGGAGAAAATAAGAGAGAAAAAAAAAGAGGATTCTAATTCTCTTGAATTTGGATGTTTATGAATAGGTATGACAACATGGCGGGTCAGGGGTGGGTTTTATTTTGTCTCCCCCACCCTCGGCAGAGATCAGTTTTTTCTGCCATGCACTCTCTCCGATTGAAATTGGTTCCCCCGCCTTCACCATTTATATTTTTAATATATAACTACATATTACATAAAATGAATAAGTATGTATAAGAGTTATCAATCCCGGCGGATAGCGGCGCTATCCTGGGATGGAGGCCGGCCGCTATAAAATCACACTTTGCGGAACAGTTTTCAATCGCGAGCCGCGAAGCGGAGCGGTTTCCCGATCCAACCTGCTTTCTGTGTTTTTTTGCGAAATCCCCAAAATGCCCTTATTTTTTGGTCATTTGCCCGTAATTCCATTTCCTCCCTCTCTCTATCATGTTCAACTCTGTACTTCTACTCCTCTCGCGCGTTCGCTTGTGTAGTTCTTCTCTCGCCTTTGATTCCATTCTAAGGGCAAGCCATTGCCGCCATCCTCCTACCTTTCTTCTTTTTCCACTATTCTTCTTTTCTTCTTATTTTTTTGTCATTTGCCTGTAATTCCATTTCCTCCCTCTCTCTATCATGTTCAACTCTGTACTTCTACTCCTCTCGCGCGTTCGCTTGTGTAGTTCTTCTCTCGCCTTTGATTCCATTCTAAGGGCAAGCCATTGCCGCCATCCTCCTACCTTTCTTCTTTTTCCACTATTCTTCTTTTCTTCTTATTTTTTTGTCATTTGCCCGTAATTCCATTTCCTCCCTCTCTCTATCATGTTCAACTCTGTACTTCTACTCCTCTCGCGCGTTCGCTTGTGTAGTTCTTCTCTCGCCTTTGATTCCATTCTAAGGGCAAGCCATTGCCGCCATCCTCCTACCTTTCTTCTTTTTCCACTATTCTTCTTTTCTTCTTATTTTTTTGTCATTTGCCCTTAATTCCATTTCCTCTCCTTCTATCATGTTCAACTCTGTACTTCTACTCCTCTTGCGCGTTCACTTGTGTAGTTCTTCTCTCTCGCCTTTGATTCCATTCTAAGGGCAAGCCATTGCCGCCATCCTCGTGCCTTTCTTCCTTTTCAACTATTCTTCTTTTCTTCCTGTATTCTTATTTTCTTCTTCTTCCTCTATTCTTCTTCTTGCTGTACAAATAATCTAAATCTTTTATCTAAATCAATATATTCCTGTTTTATTGTTAGTATCTGTTTCTTTAAATTACTGCAAGGTTACTTTGTTTGAAGAAGAATAGTTTAAATCTTAATTCTTGATATAGTACTCTAAGTTTGACTTTTGAGATGTGATGTTTTGATTAAATTTAAGACTTCTTGAATTTGAATCGATTAAGAGTTTTTGATTAAGCTTTGTGTTTTGATATTTGATTTACGAATCTTGTATGGGTTTTGTTGTATTATTGAGTTATTTGTTTGATTTATATTTGTAGTTATTATTTATATATTTTGTTTAAAAAATAATTAAATAGCGGTCATCCCGCTATCCGCTATCCCATTTTTGGAGTCGGCCGCTCCGTTCCACTCCGCTATCTGGGATTGATTACTCTGGTATATAAAATAATATTTTCTACTAATAGGGTGGGTTCTTGGAATGTTGCCTGACAGATATTAACATTCACACCCGTTCTCGACTTTGAATATTGAGAAAAATTCAAACTTGTGCACCCAGTCAAAGCTGGGGTTTTCCGTCAAAATCGGGGAAAACTCTGACGGTTGCGGATTATGTTGTCATGAAACAATAGGCAAATTTAGTTAGAAACGGAATTATCAGGTCTAATTTCAAAGTAGAAAAAGTTATGGTTAAAAATGTTACTCCCTCCGTAATGAATTATAAGGAAAATTGATTTTTTGGGTACATTTGACAATTAATGTATGGACTACGTACATTAATTGTCAAATGTACTAAAAAAAACTCAATTTTGCTTATAATTCGTTATGAAGGAAGTACCAATTTAATTTAGTTTTTAAAATTAAAATAGTTATTAATATTAATATTATTATCACTAAGATGTTTAGGTAAAGAAATACCCATTAAAGTATATTGTTAAAATTTATATAAAAAATCTTTAGATATAGAAAATTCTATTTAAATATTACCAGTCCATTCTTGGTTGAATTTCGGTCAAACATTTGAATCTTAAATCGGTACACTGGTTCATTGTCTAGTCTGACTTTAATTAGTTTGGTTCATTGTCTAGTCTGACTTTAATTAGTTTGATATTTATCAACCTTTTTGCATACATGTATTAGTAGTGTTGGATGACTCTTCTATATTTGCAAAATTCTGAAGATATCAATTGAAGATAGATTTAATGGAAGATATTCTGAAGATAGTGTTTAGGTTTTGATGGAAGAGATCAAGTGAAGATAGATTTGAAGACAATAATGGCAAACTTGAGCTCATTCAGGATAATTCATAAGCTTGTGGATTGATTTGCCTTCATCCATGTGGACTTAACTTTTTGTAACTGCATTGGGCACATGAAGCTGGATGCTACAATATGAACTATTCTCCTGGAACTCCAATGGAGCCATTGAAGGGGGGAATAATCAGGGGAAATGGTTGAGCTACTGGTGAGACATGTATATCATATTTATGTATAGTTGTACAATTTTCTTGTATTCTCACAGCTCTTACTCAAGGGGAAATGTTAGGAGTCGTCAAAATTGAAATAACTGAAACTGTATTGTACTTGATGTATATAATATTGCCTCACCTAATTGAAGGAAATTATGTACTAGTCTTTTCCGTTTTGAATCTGTTGTGCTCATTGGGATAATATTACTTTTTGAGCAGCATTAGTTTTTGTTGAACCATACTTCTAAATAGGTAATCATTTGTATTATAAGGTTTCTGCTAGAGGTAGAACATGTACATGCCAAAAGTAGCATTCTAGCAATAACTATATTACTAAGGACATTTTCTTCTTTGCTCTCTGTTGCGACAGATTCTAGTTTTTTATTTTTGACTATTTCAACCATTGTGTCAATACTAGAGGTGTTTGAGGACAGAAAATTACATGAAATATTGGAAAATGTCATTTATATACTTAAATATGTCAATTTCAGTTAGTGCTCATACTAGAGGTGTTTGATGGTTCTTCTTACTCTGTTTCTAAACAATACATTGTCATTTTCTTCATTTGAATCTCAAGATCTTCTCCAATTTCATCACCTGGATCCTAATCACCAATTTTAGTCTTTTTAGGCTCCACCTCAACCTCAGTTATGTCTTTATCTTTGTTCAGGTCAGTCACTTAAGCAATTTTGTTAATCTTATTACCTATCCTTTTCATTGAATCTAACATTCCTACTTATTAGGATTATTCATATCACAAAATATTTTAAATAGTTTTAACTAAATCAAATTAGTCTATTCTTTGAAAATAAAATAAAAAATTTAAATTAACTTATTTATAAAAATGCATTTTCAAAATTATTTTTTCTGAAAACTCGATCTTTACTTTTAATCAACCCTTGATTATTATTTACTGATTTTCTAGACAACTCTTTTGCCATTAAATTTGATTGAACATCTTTTAAGGATGTTGAATCTCTCCCATATATCAAAGTATCTGTTATATCATAAGAGCTTGACAACGATTAATCAACACCAATTCATCCTCATTATCTATTGAAATTTCAGTATTTTAAAACTAGTGAAGTTTTTATGTTGAATTGGCGGAGTGACATCTTGATGATTCTTGAATCTTACTAGATCGAACCCAACTAGACTCTTGATACCAGTCATGCACGATTCAGGATCATTAGTGAAAATCATTCGTATCATCATTATCTCTTTATTAATTCAATCAACTAGATTATCATCAAACACGAAAATAGTTGTGGAAAGATTGATAAAACAACAAACACGTCAATTAACTTTGTTCGATTTTGTTATTGGTCTAATGGTCAGAGCATATATTCAAATCCAAAATTTTACATAAAATACCATCACAAATAAACTATTAGTTTGTAACAAATTAGAACCATCAACTAACTAATTAACACAATATCACACATTGGGACTATCTGCAAAAACTTGGAACTAATCTTTTAGAGGATGCTTCACTACACTATTTGTTACTCACGGTTCCAACAAAATCCAAGGTATGTTGTTTTTCCAGATAGGCTTCACATTCCCCGACCCACCTCCTCACCTATGAAAAACATGTTGCTTGAAGAATTTCATTATTTTTTTACAAAGTAAATAAATCATAGATATGCATTTCTTTCATAACCAAAGGATGATCGAGACCAGGAAGCTTAAATCGCCCGCACCCCTGCAATCTTCTCCAAAGAGTTGGAGAATTGTTGATCATCACCCTCAAGATATAAATTGATACAACAAGAACACAGAAAGTGGCGCTAGCATCATCCCCCAGTTATACTCTACTTTTGCAACAAAGTAAATGAAGATATCCAACCCCACGTCAATTATTACACTTCAAATCTACATGAGACAGATGAGTCCTAATTTGTTGATAATAACTTATAACCTCTTTCAAATTCAACAGCTTAAATTTGATATGAATGATTGGGAACTTTATAGCAATTCAGGTTAGCAACCAATGTGAGCATGTGACCCACCAAATGGAACTTTATAGCTCTTCTTCAGGTTAGCAACCTTTTCAGCTTCATTTTCTTTCATCAGCCCCTCCTTAGCCAAACAAACCTTGTGCATTCAAGGCATGAGCAGGGCGGAATGGATATCATTCCATTGTTTGGAAATTTTATGATAGAATAAGGCAAATTATTCATTCCGCCCAAATCGAAGCGGAAGAAATATGCGCTCCATCCGATTTTAAATGATCCTAACAATAGAATATCATTCTATTCCACCCTATTCCGCTCTGCTTCTTTGGATTCCATCAATCCAATCAAATAAAAAAGTCTAGCTCTTTAATTGGCACCTCCATTAATACAAAAAGTCTAGCTCTTTCCCAGCATCAAGAGAATATCATTTTACTAGTTATTAGATCAACCACATACATATTGCAAGACAAAGCAGATGCCTTATTTGTTTTTCCATCTCTTGTCATCTTCTAAACCCTCCCCGAAATTCAAAGATAATCAACACCAACGACCGCAACATAGCCATTTTTTAGGTCGTCAAACCACAATGCACCCGTAATTGATGTCACATTTGATTATGATTCTATGCAAAATCAAGTACTGCACAGCACAGACATTACCATGACCACAATCTAAAACCTGATAAAGACAATAAATTAAATTTTATAAACCAAAATAAAAATAAAAAGCCCTAAAGAGAGAAACATTGAATGAAACAGAAAGTGATGAAAACACTTACCAGATTCATGCTAAACAGAAAATGTCATCAGTCATCAACAAAATATACTGCAAAATCCTGAGAGGAGCATTTTCAAAATCCAAATAAGGCAATCTAACCTCCCTCACTCTGCATGCTCCACCACCTCCTCCTCCAACCCGACCCACACAAACCCGGTTCACATCCACCTTCCTGAAAAGATAAACAACACCACCACCGCGCAAATCCCCCGAAGCATTTTGCTTCGTTTTGAAAAAGGTCCAACCTTTCCCAGCAAGAATCCGACAAAACCCATCCATCGTACCAACCCGATTACCAGTAACCCGACAACACAGCGAAACAGAAGAACAGTCCCAGTTACTGCCACCGCATGACCCAACCGCGTCAGAATCCCCGTCGGAGTTAAAAAGAACAACCTTGAAGGCGCGTGGGAAGAGCGTGACGAAATATCTAAGATGGGTCAGTGGCGCTGTATCAAAAGAAGGAAAAGGAATAGGAACAGCATCATTGAGAAGAGAGCAAGAAGCTGAAGAGAGAGAAAAAGTAGATGTAGACGGTGTTGAAGGTGAAGAAGAAGATGTTGATGGTGTAGAAGACGAGATGGAGAAGATGATGTGAGAAAGTGATGGTGTTGGGTGTAAATCCATTCCTAAATCTCTAGCAATGGTGGCAAGTCTATATGTGTTTGTTATGATTTCTTTGGTTGGGAGAAACAAAAGACCATGTCTTTTTTTAAACCTGGTTCTTGTTGTTTTTTCATTAGGTTGTTCTTGTTGTTCATTGTGATTGTGATGGTGATTTTGGTTTAGAAAGTGAGAGTTGTTGTTGATGGATATGGATTCACCTAAGATGAGAGAGCGAACGAGTTTCAGTGGGAGCATCTTTTTCTTTGGTTCTTTGCTTTGTGTGTGTCCTTTGCATACAAGATATGTTTATCATGTTTGGTCGCTTTCCTTTTCTTTTCTTTCATTTCTTTGACTCTAGTGAAGTAACCTTTTGAATCTATATGTTTTTTTTTAGTAAACAACAAAAAATGGTCCCTTAGGCTCTACTATCAATTTAGAGCTTGATATTCAAAAAGTTCAAATTGATTACTCTATATACTTTTTGTGTGTCTAAATTTCTTGGTAAATGATGTTTTTTCATAGCATCATAATTATGTTGGCTTGCAAAATGGAAGCAAGCATTGGATTTTGAAATTTGATTTGGTGGATGAATCATTTTCTTTTGTTCAATTGATCCTTCAAATAACTTGGGTGAGTGTTACATGACTGTAGTTTAATTCATGCATACTTGTAACTATTCTGCTAATTAACATGTTGAATGTGAATGTCGGTTAGACAAACAAACTTTTGTCTTGGAACAATTGTATATGATATGTCTTTGTCAAAAACAATAGTGATCTTTCTTGATATTTCGTCGGTCATTTGTGTTTTAAATTGATGTACTGTCGCTATTTCTAACAAGATTTTTTCTATTTTTTGTTGTGTCCTCTTGTAACATATTGTCGATACAAAATCTTCAAATGCTTTTATAACAATATCCTTCTATTTTAACATATATAGCTTTCCTTGTATTTTATCGGATACATTGTTCGCTCAACACTTTGTTTTTAGTGATGCAAGAAAGAATACATATTCATATGTAATGGAAAAGATGAAGTATATTATTAAAAGTGGTGGATTATTGAATTGTTAAAGTCACTAAATATAATCACTAAACAACCTAGGACACACATGATCATGGATTAACATTTAACACGTCCCTATTAATTGATAAGTCTAAGTATGCATCAATTGTATTTGTTCTCCTTAGGAACACAAATCTATCTATCTTAATGTCTTTGTGAATCCATCAGCTATATGCAACTCTATTGAACAATATGAAACTTCAAACATTTCATTCATGACTCACTTTTTATGAAGTGGAACTTAGTCTCTATGAGCTTGTTCCTCATATGTGAAATTGAATTTTTAGTTTAATTTATATCTGATTTGTTGTCAATCATAAATTTTAATGGTTTTGCGTTCCACATTGCATCTCCTTCAATAATGGATCCAGTCAAATTGTTTGACATGAAGTAAATGAATCAACTATGTACTCTCCCTCACATGGTAAAAAAAAATAATGACTCCTTCCATTTATTTGTACATCAAGAAATTGCAGCATCATTGTACTCCTTCTATCACTTTTGTCACCTCACCAATAAGAATCTAGATAACCTATAAATCTTACCTTATTCTCTTTCACGATAGTTGGAAATAGTAAGCAGCCACTAGGTCTGATTTTTTAGGCTCATTCATGTACTAGTTAATTATGCTTACTATATAACATATTTTAGGTTTGTTATTGTTGTTCTAACTGGTTTTAAATTGAGAGTCGTCACCCTTAATTTTTATCTTTGTGAAGGGAATATAAATGATAACCTTAATGTGGTTAGAGATTCTAAATTGTTGATTCGTTTTTAGACGAAGGGAAGGTGTTAGGCACCCTTCATATACCTTGTTCAAAAGGATATTAAGGTTTAGAATTACGGTTTAGGAAATAAGATTTTAATTTTTATTAGAGGAACTCATCACGATTTTAGTCGTATGCTTACATATCCTCTTATGAAGAATCATATTTTCAATTCGTAGTTCGCAGTGGATTGATGTTTTTTATGGAACACGAAGATATTTTGAATTTTCCTTGTACTAAGTCTAAGTGCGTGAATAGCGGAATTGTTAGACGAAGTTCGCAGTTGATTTAAAAACATCGTCATAATCCTTTTTAAAAATTGTTTTAAATTAATTAAGTTATTAAAAAAAGATTATATATATATATATATATATATATATATATATATATATATATATATATATATATATATATATATATATATATATATATATATATATATATATATATATATGATATTTTTAATGCATGGCAAAAATAATTTTAATGCAATAAATTTTTTTGGATGGATTAGAAAATAAATATTTAATTTTTAATAATAATAGTAAAATAATTTTAGAATTTATAGATATATTAAATTATAAAAAATAATAATTATAAATAATAAAAGTAATAAAAGAAATTTAATAAACGCAGGGGGGGGTGTTATTTCATCTGGGTTAAGTAAATCAGGGGGTATGAAAAGTAGGGCTCTGAATTCAAATATTGAATTTAGGTCCAAATGCGAGAGGGAGTGAATAATTGTACAGGGCAGTAAAAATGGGGGGTTTGTTCAGCAAGGAGTCCAAGTTCAGATATTTAATTAGACTCAGTAGCGCAGGGGGGTGAGAATTACGTTGGTATAGTAAAACCAAAAATAAAGGGGGTGTGAATATCATGGGCTTAGGCCCAAAACAATATGGGATCCGTTAAACAAGGTGTGGGAGAGACCATGGAATCACGATGGATGCGCACTTATGGGACGTTAAATCATAATCAGAGGACGCATAACAAGGGTACATGGCAAGGGTGTGTGGTAGTGCCAACAACGGATCCACGAGGTTTATATAAACAAAATATTGGACAGAGAGCCCACTTTTATTTTCTCTCCCTCTCCCTCTCTACAACAAACAACAAACTCTTTATCATTTTTAGAGAGAGAGAGGCTTTGCCTTCTCTTTAGAATTCCGTCGCGTCAGAAATCGCGCAGCCGACGATTACCACTGTAGGCCACTACCAACCACCATTCTTCTCAGTTTTCCAGTTGACATTCAACCGAAAACTTCAAACATTCATACGCCCCACTGTGGATATTCATCTGGGTTCTATGAACCCCAAGAACCCTAAGGGTTCATGATGAACCCTAACCAATCCAAAACCCAGAACACACAACTACTATGAACGCTAACCCTGATCTTCAAACAACCCTAAGAATCCTAACCCTAGGATCTAAGAACCATAACCCTAGGTTAGAACCCTAACCCCAGAAACCCAAAAATTTCCAAAATCGCAACAATCAAACATCAATCATGCAACCGTTTAACAATAATCAACAAACCAAAGCTAAGTGTTTTAGATTACCTCTACTGCAGTGAAACTGGTCGTATACTTTTCCTTTTTGGTTTTCCGCTTGTCCTTCTAATCTTCTTCTCCTCTCTTGTCTTGCAGGTACGCTGGATGACGATAACAATGAAGGTGCGACGTTGGTGAATCTCATAGATCTAGTGTTTCATATTTTAGAATCCATATCCTGATGAAGACGACTTCAGTTGGGGACTCAAGACCGCAAGCCTCTTTCTCTTCTTTTTTGTATATTTCTCCTTTCTTTAGAATTTCTTAAGTTTATTTATAGTTAGATTTTAGATTCAAATTAGGAAATTATCTGTAACTGTCGTTATATTAAGTAATTGAATTAGGAATTAGGAAGATTTTAGATTTGTTTGTGAAAGTTGTGATTTATGAGATTTGATTTAGTCGTGTATTTGTGTAATTTTTGGACAATTTGGTCTGTAATGAAAAGATATGATTTAGATTATATTTGATTTAGCCTAAGCTGATTTGATGCGATTTTGATTCATTTTAATTTCAAATGCGTTTTCTTTTGTTGAATCTATACAATGTTTCCTAGGATTTGGGCCTGTGTATTCTTGATGAAGAACAACGAGTAGGGAATCTGGGTTGAAAACCCTAATTTTGGTTTGGTTGACCCTGATCAACGTTTTAAATAATAAAATAAATAATATTTTTTTACTTAATAAACAATAACGTTATTAATAATTTAAAACTTAATTATGGCAATTTGTAAAAAGGATTTTAAACAACAAAGTTGACTTCAGCCAACAGTCTTAACACGGTGGGTTCAAAAAAGAAAATGGGCCATTTATTCAATGGACCTATCTAATAAAAACTGAAGCGACAAGTTTTTAAGAAACATACATGTCCTTTCTATTTTGAACTGGGCCAGCAGAATTGTCTTAATGGGCCATCAAATTTTGATGGTCCATTTAAGATAATATACTCCCATTTCCATTAATTAGTAAACTTTTAACAAAGCTTAATGGGCCCAACTCTTAACATAAATCAAAACAATCCTTAATGTGCCTAAAACAAATATACCTCATAGTGAACTTAGAAACTAAATACACCCCCTCTATTTACTTGTACAAACTACCGAGTGGATCATCAACTCCACACTGACCTTTTTGATTTAGAAAGCCCATAAACCCCTTTATAAAAAAAACATCCCCCCTTTAAGGTTTTAAGCCCCAATGAATTTATCCTAAGTAATCTAAACTTTATAGAGAAAAATGATAACATAGTAATAAAGAATAAATTAGTTAAAAGTCAATAGGGAAAATTTGGAGTATGACATCTGTCCCTATTTAATTGCCTTTCGATTGAATAGTGTGAGAATACGTAGGTCTCACACGTTCGAATCGGAGGTTAATTAAATAATAGAAGACCCTAAAATTTTTCCGACAAAAAGATACGTTGTACAACATTCTCATGAGGATGAAAACTAGGCATAAATGATGATATATCATCTTACTAGAGTCTGAACCAAAGTTTGGATTTGACTTAGATACGACTACACAGATAATTCGTCAATACCTAAAAGAGACAAGAGATTTTCGTATATTTACCATAACCTAGGAGGTAAATAATTCAAGTTTAAAAAGTTGACTTACTAATGCCTCGAGACTAATATAGTAAGTTCGTAATGCAAATTTTTTTCCTATTCACCGCAGCCCGGGGGATGAATAAATCAGAGTTTGATAACACAATGCCGTATGGAGACTGACGCAATGAATTATACATATTTCTCTATGTTTACTAAAACCTAGGGAGTAAACAGTACGAGGAGGAACATGTGTCTTTATCACGACCTAGGGGATAAAAGACAACAGAGATAGCCTTACGTTATTCATCACGACCTAGGGGATGA